GAGCTCGGCCGCGCGCTCCTGCGCGCTCCCGCCTGCGTGTGTGTGTGTGTGTCTGGTCGCAGGATTTGATCCTATTCAGGACTCCAGACAGGCACCGCTGGGCAGCGCGAACAAAAGCTTGACGGGTGAGTAATAGCTCTGTCAAAACAGTTGCTCGCTGGAGCGAATGTGGCAGACAAGTCCCGGGGCCCTGGGCTGCAGCCCCGCCGGGATGTCCCGCAGCGGGGTCAGCCCCCTGTGCTCTGCCCCAGCCCCGCCGCCGGGCCGGGGTCGGGGTGTAGAGGCAGCAGGAGCCGGGGTCGCAATCGGAACCCAATTTGGGACTCTGCGAGACTGGATACCGAGGGGCTGGGGCAGTCAGGGGGCCCCTGCTACCAGCCTTCCTCCTGCCCCATGAATTAAACATGCCGGGGAGGTAACACACACCGCTGCAGGCAGGAAGCCAAATACCCGCTCCGGAGAGCTGGGCAGTGTGGTTACAGGGTGGGAGGATGTGAGGGCTGGGGGGCCGGTGCCGGGAGAGATGCCGAGCTCAGGGAGAGGGATGTCCTCAGCAGGCACTCGGGGTCAGGCAGTGGGGCCAGAGCCCAGGCTGCTCGGGGGGCTCAGTAGCACCCTGAAGGCTTTGCCCCAGTGCAGGGCTCCCAGCAACCATGGCAGCTGCTCCACTGGCACAGGGCAGAAGTGTGGGCTTCAGACATCCCTGCTGGGGGTGGCCAGGGGACAGGCACATGTGGCCGTGCCCTTTCCTCTGGGCTGCCACAGGCAGGAGGGACCCGGAGCATCCTGCCTGTCAGCTGTCAGGTCTGAGCTGGGTGTCAGCATAAACCCAGCTCTAAATGCTTCAGTTCCCTCACCTCGAGCCTAACCCCGGCCTTGAACCCTGGCCTAATGCTAATGCCAACCCCAACTCTCATCCAAACCTTCCTGCTAATATGGACCTGAACCCTTTGATCTGGTCCTAATGCTAACTCTAACCCTAAGAAAAAACCTGACCTTAGTCCTAATCATGAGTTTGATGCTAACCCGAGCTTTAAACTCCAGACCTAACCCTAATGTTAACCCTGACCCTAGTCCTAAACCCAACCTAACCCAAATGTTAATCCTAATCAATCCCAACCCTAACCACAACTCTAATCCTAACCTCATCCCTAGCCCTAATGCTGACTCTAACATTAACCCTGACCCTAATGTTAATGCTGACTGTAACACCAACCTGCATCCCAACTCCAGGCTGCATCAGATCCCTGGGGTTCCACTCTAAACTCCAGCCATGGCTGAGCTCACCCCAGCAAAGCTGTGCTGAGTCCAGTGAGTCCACAGCATTCCTGGGCTGCCCTTCCCCTCGGCCCCAGCCCCTCCAGAGAGCTGAACCCCAGCACAGACCCCAAAGCCATCTTTTCTCACAGCAGACTTTCCCAGGCTTAGCGAACGCGCGGGATTAGCCTCATCCTGCATCCCTGCGTGCTGGGAAGCCCCAGAGCTGGGGCTGGCCGTGGGGTGAGCC